ACACACACACACACACACACACACACACACTCAGCATGCGTTTCGAGCTGCTGCGTCCAGGACTTGAACACCAGTTGACTACATGGGAGTCCAGCAATGTAACCATTCTACCACCTGCCGGCCCTAATGTAGTGGAGTTTAATTGAACGAAAGTAAACCTGATTCTTTTTGGGGGGGGAGAGGTTTTTGCTATAGGGCGCATGCGCTGGCCAGACAGAGAGAGAGAGAGAGAGAGAGAGAGAGAGAGAGAGAGAGACAGAGACAGAGCGACACAAAGCAAGAAAGCAATCCCTTCTCCTCCGTTTTCCTCTCAGGATCTTGGGCATGCACACACACGCGCCCAGCATGAGTTTTAAGCCACCAGGTTCGGGATGCGAATCGCGGTTGACTACATGGGAGTCCAGCAACATAGCCATTATGCTAACTGTTGGCCCCAAGTAAACATGATTCTAACCGGGCAGCTTCTCCGGTGGCTTCCAGGCAATTCTAGGAAGCCTCACGCAGGGTTTCCAAGTTTCAGAAGAGGAAAGTGACGGTGTGGAAAGGAAATGTACATAGAAAAAGGAAAGTGAAGGAATGGGAGAGACAATTTGGATTGGCTACATCTTAAGTGTGTCTGCATTAGCACCATTTAAAAGGCAGGATGCCTGTGGTTGGACCGAAGCTTAGCTGCCGTGATTGGTTGTAACCTGGCAACCAACCAAAAAGGCAGCCTTCCAAATGAGGTTGCAGTTTGTTTATGGGAACCAAAGCAGGAGCAGGAGGCTTTTCTGATATATAATACATTCACAGGAGCGGCGGAGGGAACTGGAGAGGGCGGAAGGAGCCTTTGAAGAAGCGGGAGGCGAAAATGGAGAGCCTAGAAAACTGAGATGAGAGGAAATGGCTCCTTACTTTACATTGTGTCCTATATAAGGAGAAAATGAGCACATTTAGATTATTTATTAGAAATGCTGCTGCTTTACCAAAGCCAGTGAACTTGAGAAGCTCCCCTCCTTTTACCCTTTGAGTTACGGCATATAATCCCACTTCTTGTTTGAAAGTTACAATTTAAAAAGTATTCGCTTATGAGAAAACGTCTGAACTTCTTTTCACAGTTTGTACACTGGGGGGAGTTCAGAGCATAGCGGCCAGGTAACCATCTCACATGGTAGGCCTCCGGCAGGTACCGAGATGTCACTGTGGGTTGTAATGCCCTCTTAGTTAGACTGAGTCACCCAAGTTAATGAGGTCAGGAAAATTGGTCCTTCCTGTCCATTCTCCTTTTGGGGTAGCATCCTCCTATCCTGTTTTTGTTCTTGTTTTCCACAACCTTTTTATTGTCTTTGCTTCATACAGAATTATAAATCAGTTCCAACAGACTTTTGATGCTGGATGCATTTTTGCGAAAGAAACAACAATGAAGACTTTTCCATTTCTTAAAAAGTCAGCCACAGGGGCCAACTGGTGGTGTGGTGGTTAAGGTGACTGGGTCCCACATGACTGCGTGGTTTGAGTCTTGCACCCAGTGACTTGAGAAACATGCCAGGCGCTTGTGCGTGTGTGCCCAAAATTCCTAAAGGAGGGAAAGATAAAAAGGGACTGTGGCGTGCCTATTCCCCACAGGGGATGCTTTCTCACTTTTCCTCTCTTTCTCTCTCTGTCTGGTGAGTATATACACCCTCTGGCAAAGTAAGACAAAAAATTAGCCCCGTAAGTACTACCCATTGTACCTGTATTCAATTTCTCTTGTTACCTCATGTTGTTGTGACATGATATCATACTTAGTAACATTAGTCATGGGGCTGGCAGGTGGTTAAGGTACTAGACTCCCACATGGTCAACTGTGGTTTGAGTCCTGGATCTGGTGGCTTGCTTTCTCACTATCTCTAGTCAAAATGAAGGACAAGGAGAAGGAGAAGAAATAAAATTAAATAAGTAAATAACATTAGTCATGAAATGAATGTTTTCAGATAGAACAGATCACACAGTTCAAGTACTATTTTTGAGGCTCAGTCACTTCTATATATTTAATGGCCGTATACACGTGACTGTAAACAGCCAAGTGAAAAATAAAAACTGGAGTCGGTTATCCAGATGTTTTATCTCTGAAGCCAAGTATCTGGAAATACAAAAACATCTGGATGACTGACTGGACTTATCACTTGTCATCTCTCTGGCTGTTGTAACAGAATGCAGACACAGACCAAACCACTTCTGTCGATATCTGCAGAAGTGATAAATTGCAACAAGAATCTTGTCGGTAAGCATATTAAATGTGACCCAGATAAGCTACCCTGAAGGCAATACAGGTTGAGTACCCCTCGTCCAAAATAGATGGGACTGGAAGTAATTTAGGTTTCAAAATTCTTTTCATTTCAGAATATCTGCATACAAACAACAAGATGTATTGATGATGGGACCTAAATCCAAGCATAAAATTATTCATTTATATTTCGTATGTCATTTTAATACATAACTCACTCTGTGGGGTGATAGGCACAGAAATAAAGGTAGTAAGGCTGTTCCTCTTTCTCTGTACGTTAATACCCACATGCTAATTTGACTTCTGAATAGCAAATACTATTTTCAGAGATTCAACTCGGTAGCTATTTCAATAAGACTATAACTTTTGAAAATCGTAAACTTATTTGTCTTAGTTAAAAATCTTCATCTCTGGGGGCCAACAGGTGGCATGGTGGTTAAAGGTGCTGGACTCCCACACGGTTCAAGTACCAGACCGGGCGGCTTTCTCTCTCTCTTTCTCTCTCTCACTCTGTTTCTGTCCCTCTCTGGTCAAATTAAAACAAATAAATAAATAAAGTTAAATAGAATAATTATTTTTAAAAACTCTCCATCTATGATTTTTAAGGGAATAAGTAGATTCTTTTTTCCATGTGATATTTACCTTAAAATGAAGTAGCTTCTGAAGATGGCACTAATTACATTAGGCTTAAGTCACACACTGATTTTATACTTAAAAGTAGTATTTTACAACACTAAGAAAAGTGGAAGCTTAAATGTTCCCACACAAAAGGACCACTTCAGTAACTAGCACATTTGTACTAGATTTTTTATGGAATGAATAAGTGTTTTTTTTTTTTCTTTCTCCAGCAAATATGCAGTATGTAACAGGTAGTGTTACAAATATTTTAGAATATTTCATTATAATGCTAACCCTATGAGGTAGTTACACTTTTTGTTTTCCTATTTTTCGGGTGAGGAAGCTGAAATGTGGAGAGATTAAGATACTGCCCAGGTCCCAGAGCGGCTGTGTCAAGATCCAACCAAGCTGTTTGGCTTTGGAGTCTAAGTTCGTTTGTTTGTTTGTTTTTTAAATTTGCCAGTGGGCTCATGTACTTGCCAGAGAAAGGAAGTGAAAAGACATACCCCATGGGAATGACTTCTCCTCCATCTCCCTCTCCTTTCAGGATTTCAGGCACACAAGTATACGTGTCCAGCATGTTTTTCAAACTCCTGGGTGCAGGACTCAAACCCCACAGTCTGCCATGTGCAATCCAGCCACTTGAACCCCCCCCCCACACACACACCATGGACTGGGCTGGATTCAAATCTTTTGCTCATTATTCTATATGCTGCCACATTTAACAATGTGTTTAAAAATAACATGGCAACAGTGACCAGCCCCTGTTAGACTTCCAACAAGAGTGCAGTTAACAATCGTTTTGTTCTGAAATGCCATATTGGTGTGCACAGTCTGAAAAGCCACAAGCTGTTGTATGCAATACTTGTTTGTAAGTAGCAGCTGCTCTGCTTTGTGCAACTTCTCATGAGCACAGAAGTTTATACCAATTACAATTAAGGAGGAAAATTATTTTGGGTAACATAGCATTTGATGAATGCTTTGGTAAACAGAACATTGCCAGTTAGCTAAAATCTTAACACTTGGCTAAAACTTTTCTCTTTTTTCCCCCTGACATTTTTAAAAGGTATAAACTGTGAAGCGGAAGTTGATGAATGTTGGTCCCAGCCCTGTCTAAACGGTGCCACCTGTCAGGACACTCTGGGGGCTTATTTTTGCGACTGTGCCCCTGGCTTCCTGGGGGATCACTGTGAACATGACATCGATGAGTGTGCCAGCCAGCCGTGCCTCCATGGAGGGCTGTGTGTGGATGGCGAGAGCAGGTACATTTTCTCCTGCAGTGGGGCATTGGCTGAGAGAGAACTCACTGACCAAGAATTACTATACTGCACGAGTGAATGTGGAGATACTACATTCTCAGCTTAAAATTGTCAGAGTGCCGTATGCTTTACATGATGAAAAGTTGTAACATTCAGATTTTATTAAACATGTCTTTCAAGGTTATTTATCCCAGGAGTGAGGGTTTTCCAAGTCATTCTCATAATAGTCTAGAATTCTTAGTATTATAGAAAAGTACTAACTTTGCAATTCTATGAAGTAAACCTGTTGTCAAAAAGAAAAGTGCAAAAACAAAGCCAGATATTATTCTCTATGTGTGTATATGGTTCTAGCTATATGATGAAAAGCTTCTAAATCATTTGGCAGAAATAAACTCTAAACACTACATAAACACTGTTGAAAAGGGCAGTGATATTAAATGACTTCAGGTTGAATTTCCATGTGTTGGGGGAATCGGATGAATACTTTTAGGAAAGCCTAATGGTGAGAAGGAGCCATGTGCTTTTGCTCTGAATCAGATTCTATTATTGGCATTTAGGCATAATGGACAACAATAAATTATACCTTATGATAATGAAGCTAACGACTATGTGTTACGCTCGCTGAGTTCATATACAATATTTTGAAAAGAAGTTCTTAGTCCTGATTTAAACCATGAATACTGAGTCATCAAACACCCAACCGTGTTTAACAGCATTGGTACTTAAAATGATTTTCTTGGGTCCTTCACCCACTGAATGGAGACAAGATCATTAGTGTTCCCATATCATAATAAGGACTCTAATGCCCAGGGAAGCCCAAAGACTCCTACAAGTTCACACAGTGCAGTCTGTGTTTACAGAGAACTGGAGCCCAGTCTTCCTTTCTTTGGAAAATGTAGACTTCATTTATCCAAAATCTAACTTTAAAGTGAATCAGAGTAGGAGAGCAAGAAAAGCACATATGCTTTATCCAGAGAGATGGCAGGATTTTAAATTGTACAATGCCGTGGTACATTTCTTTTGTAAAATATAAAGCCTAACGTCTAATCATGTGCCATGTCCTGCGACATTGAGTTTGTACCCAAGCAATGCTTCCGTGACTGGAATCTACGTCCCAGGAGACAGGTAACTCACCAATTCAGAAACAAACCAGATTGGAAATTTCTGTGAAGGACCCCAAGGCAAAGGAGTTCTCCCATGTAGGCCTTACCGTCTTCAGAAAGCATCAGGACAGGAATTACCCAAAGCTTTTCACTCTCGTAGAACTGCAAACTAAACAAGGCTGAAACCGTGCCATCTTTTATTTCTCCCCTTGAATGTGCCATGTATAATTCCTCTATTTTACCACGTTTCCTTATAACCTAAATTCTGAGAAGATAGTCACACGGTTGACCAATATGATCTGACTTTATTTTCCCACAATAAAATAACATATTTGCTAGGTACATGGGAAAGTCAAAACCTGTATTCCAAACAAAGGCTGTTGACAAAGCAATTATGCAAATGTAGTTTCTGAGTCTGTGAATCATGGTCCACGAGCCAGTCCAGCGCCCTGAGTACAGGGTTCTCACCTCTCCTGTCTTATCTACAGCAGATTTTCAGTAAGAATTTTTAATGAGACAGAGTAGTGAATAAATTCCTAGCTAGACATTATATATAGATATGGATATATAGATATACATACATCTATATCTATATCATCTATACCTATATCTATGTAATGTCACTTATAACATTTGCTATTCAGATTCCTTAGCAAAGTGCTAATATTTGTGTTTAATGGTAATACACACACAGCCATGGTGAATAGCCATGATGAATTAATAACTGTTTCATAAATTTATTAGTATCCTTTCCCCCAAATCCTTATTTTATCTATGCTGAATATGCAGGTCTATTTTTCCTAATACTAAATCTTTGAGGAGATCCCACCTACATTGCAATCTTTCTCTTAATAAAATCAACAACTTCTCTCATCAGATTTGTATTTGGAACTATTAGATAATCCCACTCAATAAATGATTAGAGATAGTAAGAATAAAACATTCCTATTACTTAAAAATATAAGAGGAGCCTGCAGGTGGTGTGGTATGCTCCCACATGGCCAGCCACGGTTTGAGTCTTGAACCTGGTGGCTTAAAAATCAATCACTCTGGGTGCATGTATGTGCATGCCCAAGATCCCAGGAGGAGAATGGAGGAGAAGACATTGCGGCATGACCATCCCCCAGGGAGGTGATTTCTCTTTCCCTATCTCTGTCTCTCTCTGGTGAGTGAACATACCCTATCACAAAAACCTAAAAAGAAAGAAAGAAAGAAAGAAAGAAACAGACAAGCAGGCATTGTAAGTTAGTTCAGTTAATGAGGGCTTTCCTGGGCTTTTTATAATGTATTTTTTTTTCAAAGGGACATTATTAATAGGCTTTCTCCATAAAATAGTATTGCAGAGGTATAAATCACTCTACTGCTATCAGAAATATTAGTAATATTACTTAGTACTACTTAGAAGCGATTTATTCAGCACCTGCAAATATTCAAGATATTATATCTGCTTGGCATATGCCTATTTAATTATCACAAGCCTGTGACACTGGTATAGTTTTCTTCCATTTATGAAAGAAAAGAATGAAGTAAGTGCATAATTACCATTTTCAAAAACTTCATATGGAGCTGTAAAATTAATTTTTTAAAAAGATGATGAGACATTAATATGAAAATACATGAATGCTCAGACCCCTAGAGATAGTTCCCAAGGTTCTGAGGTAGGTATGGGACTGTGCCAAGGGTCTTAGGTTGGTGGTTAAAGAGACAGGATAAGGGTATGTCATCTCTCTATGACCAAGAGTTAACATGAAAATTCTATCTACTCTCCAGATATAGCTGTGACTGCATGGGTAGTGGATTCACAGGGACTCACTGTGAGACCTTGATGCCTCTTTGTTGGTCAAAGCCTTGTTACAATAATGCTACATGTGAGGACAGTGTTGACAATTACACTTGTCACTGCTGGCCTGGTAAGTGACAAAATATCTTCCACTTTTTTTTTTTTTTTTTTTTTTACTAGAATAGAAACAAATTTCTTATAGTAAAGATTCTTGTTAAATGTTTGAAACCACCTTTCTTCTAGCTTTGATTTAACTTAGTTGTTCTTCGATGCTCATGCATTCTTACTGCTATACTACACATTGACTTAAGTAGAGTGCCCGGGGGTCAGAGTCCTCTAGGAGAAATAAATGGGGGGAAAACAGCTAAGGGAGGGATGAAATCCATAATGGTTTCTTTTCTTTTCTTTTTTCTTTTTGTGAGAGGTTTTTGCCATAGGGTGCACATGCTTGCCAGACAGACAGAGAGAGACAGAGACAGAAAGCGAGAAATCACCCCCGAGGGGGGGGCGGGGATGGCTACGCCGCAATCCCTTCTCCTCCATTTTCCTCTCGGGATCTTGGGCACGCACACATACGCGCCCGGCATGAGTTTTAAGCCACCGGGTCTGGGACGTGAACCACAGTCAATTACATGGGAGTCCAGCGACATAGCCATTACACTAACTGCTGGTCCCAAATCCATAATGGTTTTTATAAAAACAAATTCACCAAGAGATGCTTTTGTTTCCCTCTAAGATGTTCACTTAGACACCAGGAATGTAGAGAAATCTGTGAAACAAGGTTAAACTCCTAGGAAATTGTCTTCTATAGTTTATGGAGTTGGCCAACAGGATGATAGTGCCCCTAGAAACTATACAGTGACTCCAGAAATACAAGTGTTCTTCTAGGTATTTGCAATGTAAATGAGAGTATAAGTTAAAGATCTATAAACCATAACTAGAATTTACACATAAAGGGTTTAAGCTTGAGTGTAGAGGTGATACAAGAACCTAGAAAATAGTATATAATGCTTGAATTACATTACAGGCCATGTGAAAATACTGATGTTAATTCAAGCAAATAATCTGCTTGACATTTTTCTTTTCTCATCAGACTTTCATTGATAGAAATGAATGTAACCAGAATTTCATTGACAGAAATGTAAAAGTACAGTGTTTTTTTTTTTCCTTGATCCACTTGGGGGAAAATGATAAACTTACAACAAGGTCTAGTTGTCTAAGCCCACCAATCACCTACTTTTCTTTCTGTATTCATGTTTTTCTCTGAGAAAGGATAATTTTGTGGTTGAAAAGGACACGTGGAGACTAGGAGTATAATTCCATAATTCATCATGGAAAGTATAATTCCTTGGGATTTATTGGCAAGTCTGGTTTCTAAATTTTCAAGTGAATGGGACTTTAGAAGTATACCCAATCATAAGTGGCTGTAGGCTGAAAGATATTCCAGTAACTAAGAAACATCTAACATCTTTGGTTAAATATACTTGTGGGTAAAAAAACCCCTGAAACTATAAAAGAAAATTTGGTATTCCTCTGTAGCTTGGATATATGTTATGTCTTCCCATTCCCGGGCAATAAATAAGGAATATTACTAATCTTTGATAACTAACTCTCCTTAAATTCTGAAATTTTTACAAAATATGTTGTCTCACATTTTTTACATCAACCAACATTCATAAAGGGTCTCTGTCTGATGGTCAATTTCTGTTCTATAGGTGGTTTGTAATAGAGTAAGGCAGTTAAAGAGATCTTCCTAAAAAAGAAAGCAAACAATATATATTCAATTCATTCGTGGATTTAAAAACTAAGGCCACATGAATTTTAGTGCTAACTATAGATATAATGTATCTAGACATCGAAAGGCATGGTCTTTTCTTTCAAGGAGCTTAAGTTCTAGTAGAGAGATGTACAAAATGTATATGGTATAATTTTGGATATGATAAAAGGTTATATAAATCCTATGAAAAGGAATAAAAGTTATATAAATCCTATAAAAACGAATAGTGGAGAAGTACAGGGATAGTTTGATAAAATAGGTATCATCTTAGAAGGCTTATAAAGATGACTAGCATACACCAGAAACGTACTTACTGGCTGTGTGACTTGGATACATTCCTTTACTGCTTTGAGACTGAACTGAATTTTCATGTTTTCCTCATTTATAACATTTACCTGACAGAGTTATCTTGGAGATAAATCCAGTAATGTATATAAAGCTTCCAGATCAGTCTGGACAACAGTAAACACTCAATAATGTTAAACACATACCAGTATTAGGATGTTGCTCATTCTAGGCCTTATGGCTAGCACATAGCTATCTAACATTTATTTAAGAAAAAAAAGAGAGAAAGAAAAAGAAGGGAAAAAACAAAGGTGGCAGGCACACTAGAAAAGTGTAGCAATTGTGAAACTTTGAGTGGTTGTTTAAAAATGCTGGTCTTCGTAGGGCTGGTGGTGGAGGGATGGAGCCTGAGAGCGAAATGAAGGCCAATCTCGCTCTGCAAATGATGGGCCACAGGCGTGGCATAATCTGACCTCTTGATGTAAAAAGAACTCTCTGGCTTAGTGGAAAATGACCTAAGGAAATAAAATTTAAGGCAGGGAATCTAGTGAAGCTTCTACAATAATGTAGCCAATATTTGAGCCTGTTTCCCAGAACTAAGACAACAGTGGGAGGGGAGAACAGAGGAGATGGGCATTCACAAGTCATGTAGGAGGTGGAAATGTTGTGGGAATTTAAAAAGGGGTGTATATTATCTACCTTGGGGTTTCTGTCTTGGATCACTGAATGAATGGTGAGTTTGCCTAGACAGAAAATTTAGAATATTTCTGGACCCTACCCTGTTATAAACAAAGAGAAGATTCAACACTGCATATGACTCAGTCTCCAAGGAATGGAGACCACTCCTTCAGTTCATGAGCACTGCCCCAGAATGCAATGGCAAGGATCCACTGCCATAATTGTGCAGAGTCCTCATTTCAAAGTAATTACTTACAAGAAGCATCAGTCACCTCAAATGCTTTTCTTACATTTTCCTGATGCCCAGATGAGATCGGATTTGTGAAAAACAAACATAAAATCCCTGGGGACTTGATTTGGTATCATATTGTTTCTTTGTACAGAGTTTTATAGAAAAACTTGTTAAAACTATTGAATATAGCCTTACTGAGGGAGCCTATTTATATATGTGGTTAAAGAGAACAGCAAGTAAAATCCCCACAGGGCCTCAGTGGTGGGGACAGGACTGGCAAGACCATAAATCAGAACCTTCCTAATGTTCATGATTGGAACGAGATAATGCATGTGCCAGAAAAGCAGAAACGAATTTATGATGGTTCTAAATTACTTTCTATCCTGGCCCATGTCTGAGTCTTGGATCTTAGAATAAGAAAATTGAAAATAGTCCAAGCCTGTTTCAGTAAGTTCACTGTAGCACCAAAAAAAGAAAAAAAATCAGTTTATAAAAAGTTATTATGAAAACTATTTCACAATTATTTATACAACTCTAAGTATGAAACAAAAGTATTTTAAAAATAGACATTCAAGTTTGAGATTCTGAGAGTATATTTAGGGAGGTCACTATAAAAGATTGTGGCATCTCAATCTGACATATTTTTTCAGTTTCTTTTTTCCACTCTAAATATCTTCTTCAGATGGTTCAGAAAGGCCCCAAAGGTCATCCATTACAAATATATTATATGGTTGAGCAACAGAATTTATGGTGTGGTCACTATTTGACAAAGACCCCATTCAGGTCTTTATTAAAATTATAAAATTACACTATATTCTCATTCTTAGCTTACATACAGTCAGTTCTCTGGTTTATGTGCTAACATAGGATTATAATGTGAATTGTTATTTTCAACCATTATTAATACCATTTGAGTCTCATTCAGTCATTGATCATAAGTCTATTACTTACATATGGCGTAGGATTGGAGTGGTGGGTAGAATACACACAATCTTTTTGAGGAGCTTACACTCCACTGAGGGAGGCAAGTAGACACACAAACACATGCTTAAAAATATTTTTATGTGCAATGGAAGAAAAATTAGTTGGCATGAGACAGAACAAGGGAATCTTACTTAGATCTGTCCATGAAGGAAAGTTATTCTGAGACAGTAATACAACATAAAGTGTGAAAACTGAGTATGAGTTAACCATGCAAATGTTCGGAGAGTTTTCTAGAAGAGAAAACAACACCAGGGAGGGCATAGGACTAGGAAATATTCTAGGGAAATATGAGAGCGTGAGGTGAAGTGGGGATGTTTTGATGGAAAAGGGTCAGATAATCCAGGGTGTTTTCAAGTGATTGTAAGAATTTTGAATTTTATTCTAGGTAAAAAGAGAAGTTGCTGAAAGCTTTTAAAGTAAAGAAATACTATAATTCTACTTACAAATTCTGTAATTTCAGATAGTAAATTATTTTTTATAAATACATTTCTCAGCAGGCCTTATTTTATTATTATTATTATTATTATTATTATTTGACCATAAGTCACATGCACTTGCTGGAGAGAGACAGAGACAGAAAAAGTGATAGAGACAGAGAGAAGAAAAGTGACAAATCATCCCCCGGGGGGTGATCACACTGCAGTCCCTTCTCCTCCATTCTCCTCTAAGGATTTTGCACGCGCACACACACATTCCTGGTGTGAGTTTTAAACTGCCAGGTCTAGGACTCGAATCTCAGTCAACTACATGGGAGTCCAGCAACATAACCATTATGCCATCTGCTGGTCCCAAAGCCATACTTTTTAATAGGTGCACGTGCCTAGAATAGCAAAGAAACAGTTTGAGTGGAGAAATTTCTTTTATATTTAATATTTTACTTTAAAATACAGTGATAAATCACTTACATCTTACTATTAGTATTCTAGGTCCTAATAAAAAGGTTTGGCCAAGTCCATGCAAATATAAAATAATTTATTGTTCTGTTTCATGGAGTGTTAAGAAACAATCATTGGGACCAGCAGTTAGCGTAATGGCTATGTTGCTGGACTCCCACGTAGTCGACTGCGGTTCGCGTCCCGGACCCGGCGGCTTAAACTCACTCCAGGCATGTGTGCATGCGTGCCCAAGATCCTGAGAGGAGAATGGAGGAGAAGGGATTGCGGCATGGCCATCCCCCTGAGGGGGTGATTTCTCGCTTTCTGTCTCTCTGTCTGTCTGTCTGGTGAGCTGGTGAGCGCATGCACCCTATAGCAAAAAAACCTCTCAAAAAAAAAAAAAAAAAACAAAAAAACAATCATTTACTTTGAGTTTTGAGAAAAGAATTTAGGGTCAGCTGGATAGAAAATTCAGGATATTTTGGTACCCTATTTTCTATTACATTGATATTCAACACTACAACTTAGATCTAAGATATTATTGACTTTTTGGCTATTCCCTTGAAAATAATCCCATTTTTTTTTCTTCTTAAAAATTCTAACAATTGGAATATTTGAAAAATTGTAGCTTTTTATTGAAAGGTTCAGATTAAGTTAAGGTTCTCCCTACACCTCCTTTTATTCCAAGCATCATTCACCACAATTTTCTTAAAAAAAAAAAAAAAGATAAAAATTATGTAAGAGGTTCTATTGCTGCAGCTATTTATTTCCAAGTGTGCTTCCTCTTACTAAATTGAAATTCCCCTTCCTGGCTCCGTGAGGGCGGGACACTTCAACTTGCCCACTGTAGCTTGTCCAGTGGTGAGACTCCTTTCAGGCACATGCGCTAGGATTTAAAGCTTAGACTCAGCAGCTCCTTGAACTTGCATCCTGCAGGATACACAGGTGTCCAGTGTGAGACTGACATCAACGAATGCAGTAGTGACCCCTGCCAGTCTGATGGGGACTGTGTGGAGCTGTCCTCAGAGAAGCAGTATGGACACACTCCGGGGCTGCCTTCCTCGTTCAGCTACCTTGAAGCCTCAGGTTATGTCTGTATCTGCCAGCCTGGATTCACAGGTGAGACCGAGGAGACGGGAAGGGGCTTGACTTTCTGGTAGACCATGGATTTACCCAAATGGTGCATTAGTATATGATCTGTGTTATTAAATCCTCTTGCTAGAGTGCAAAGGGTCCTCCTCGTGGGCATGAACATGAGCTTGTTTCACATATCATAGGTCGTCCCATGAGGAAAGTGGTAACAATAGAGATAGAAAAGGTAAATAAAAGGGGAAACGTTTTTATACGGCACACTGGGAATTGAAGTACATCTTAAGTTCTGTGCCTTAGACACAGAAAATGTCAGATATTTTGTCATTAAAACTGAGAATGATGTTAAATTTTATGTTCTAATTTAACAAAAAGTTATGGTACTTGTTTAAATTTACACAGGGAACGATGATCTAGCTTCAAGTAAAATCTTCCTTAACTACTCCATAGCTAAAGTCGTTCCATACATCGGATATAAATTATTATTTGTTTACCGCATTCTTACTCTAAAATCTAAGGTAATTCACATGCATGTCTTCCAGTGCACAGTTGTATTTGTGAGCGCTTCATATTCTGAAAATTTTTAGAATTTGTAACTGAGTAGCAATCTTCCCCTGAGAAAGCTAATTACAATCTAGACTTCGATATTATTTTTTTCTGAATAGATAAAGTGATAATTCAAGAAAATCTTTCTGTTATTATTGGGGATTTCTGAGAAAAGTGAGAAATAAGAACAAAAGGGCAAAGAAGGTTTGTTTACACGTAGGATTCCTTTTCTTTCAATGTTTCAGTTTTCAAGTTTAAAGATCTTTGCGCTAGCTCCAATATGAAGTGGTTAAATGCAGCCCAGAGGAGGCTGGATCCTATGTGGCCAACCAGGGTTTGAGTCTGGCCACAGAAGCTTGAAAACACACAAGTGCCTAAGATCCTGACAGAATGCAGAAACTGGAGAAAAAGCATTGCCCCATGACCACACCCCATTAGAAGGTTTTTTTCTCTTTCACTCTCTCTTTCACGCATGCTTACATACCCTCTGGCATTAAGAAACAAAGAAAAAAGATGTTTGATCTGTGGCACTGTTTGCAGTAAGGTTGTTGTGAAAGATGTTTATTTCCTTATTCAGCGTGCTCTGTGAGAACATATAGAAGAAAAGCCCCTCTGGTGTCAGTATCAAGATAAGTAGTATATTCTCTGAGCAACTTCTAGCTTGCTTGCTTTTTACCTTAACTTTAGACAGACACGCGAATAAATCGTGATAAATGGTAACAAGCATGAGATAAATCTTGTAATACATTGTATTTCTCAATCATGTAGGCTGCTAGAAATAAATGTAGGGTCTGTAAAAATATAAGTCCTCTGGAATATATTTATGTATTTACCTCACTCCTGGGAATATTTAAATTTCCTGTTTCTGTTTCTTCCTGTTGCCTCTTTTATTTCTTATTTCTTCCTAAATTATTTGATTTTGGTCTAGTTTATGCATTTTTGTCAGCTACTTTAAATCCTTCTTGGAACAAGGTAGGGGTTATAAATTGTTTTTAAAATATTGAGTATAGAGGTCAAGGAAAGGGTTTTTATCAAAGTCAGAAGTTGTTGCTAATATTGCTTCATGGAATGAAAAAAACATGGGTGACCAATGAACCTGCAGATCCAAACAAGAGAGGCAGTAGAATGTTCTGGAAAAGCATGTTGGACTTCATTTCTGAAGAGCTGCCAAGAATGACTATACGAGTTAAAATGTCTTGCCTGCCCCAAATCTCTGTGGCTTAATGAAGTAGTTTGTTTTTCAGTCATGTGAATTCCAACAATGGATTCCCATCACTAATTGTCCTCTAAATGGTAATTCAGGGTCAGAGGCTCCGCTCCTCCTCCTCCTTTCCCCTTCAAAATGAGACTTTCAGATCTACTGTGATCATCTACATCAAGCCACTGGAGAAGGAAAGAAAAATGGAGCATGACACCTGTAGGTTTTATGGGCCAAGCTCTACAAGTAAAAAATATCTCTTCTATACACTCTCCATTGGTCAAAATTTAGACATACAAGGACATTAAACTGTAGCAAAGACTAAAAATTCTGACCCTACTGCATAGCTAAAAGAGAAAATAGGTTTTGTGAATTCCAGCTAGTACAGCAATTCTATCTGATTTGGTTTACTAGCTGGAATTGCAGAATGGAGATTCAAACCTAGATCCTCTGATTCTAAGTTTCTCTTCCTGCCTACCATGTCACATATTTTTTATACCTTGATGAATATGGTTTTGTTTCTTTAATTTTTTTTTAATTAAACTTTTAAAATGCCAGTACTAGATTCTCATGGAATTAAAAGAATGATTATGTGGAAGACCACATCTATTTTACCCAGTTTTGTCAATGGTAACATGTGTCAAAACTCTAGTACAAGATCACATTGGGATACAGACATGGATAGTGCCTACAGACGAACACTGTCCACTCAAGGATCTCACCTTTCTCCTTTCCTAGCTCCTCATAATCTCTTCTTTATTTCTATAATTTTGTCAATTCAGGACTGCTATATAAGTGAGATTCTACATTTTTTTAAACTTTTGGAATACATTTTTTCACTTGGCGTAATTCATTGAAGATTGACTCACCTTATATACATCTCTATTTCTTTTTATCACTGATATGTATGTATGACAGTTTTAACTATTCACCTACTGAAGGTAAAATGGATGATTTTTAGGCTTTGACTAATACGATTAAAGCCACATGAACCTTTTTAGACAGGCTTTTGAGTGAAGTATTCAGCTCTCTGGAAATTTCACCCAGGAGTGAAATTGCTGGGTCTTATGGTAGTTGCATGCTGCATATTTAGTTTTCTAAGGAACCACTTAACTGGTTTCCAGAATGGCTGTGTCATTTTACATTCTCACCAGCAACTCTGAGTGACCCAATTTCTTTGTGTCCTCACCAGCATTTGGTGGTGTCACTAATATTTTTTTTAAGTTTTAGCCATTTTGATAGGTAGGAAGTGATATTTCATTATGGTTTTAATTTGCATTTTTCTAAAGGCTAGTGATGATGGACATCTTTCTGTGCGCTTATTTGACATTAGTTTTTCTTAGTAAAATCTCTCTCCATGTCTTTTGCTTATTTTCTAATTTTAATTTTTTCTTTCTTTTTTAACTGTTTGAGGACATTTCTTTCTCTTTTTTTTAGATAGAGTTTTGCTATAGGGTGTGTGTGCTTGCCAGAGAGACAGAAAGTGAGAGATCACCCCCGGGGAGGGGAGGGGATGGCCACACTACAATCCCTTTTCCTTCATTCTCCTCTCAGGATTTTGGGAACGCATGCCCACAAACCCAGCCTGAGTTTTAAGTTGTAGGAGTCGAGGCCAGGACTCGAACTGCAGTCGCCTACATGGGAGTCCAACAATGTAACCATTTCACCAGCTGCTGGTCCCTGTTCGAAGAATTTTCTACATACAGGCCTTGAGTATTTTTAAAGTTTATACTTAAATACTTCATTTTCTTTGGAGGGCTTGTAAATAGCCCTGTGTTTCTGGTTTAGTTTCTACGTATTCATGTTATCATTGGGAAAGACAGTCTCACAACCCTTGCTCAGCCACATAAGAAGAAGTCTTGGGACTAAAACATTTCCCATCCAAGAGATAAAGAGGCCCCACAGTCTGAGCTGGGCTTGTGTGGGAATCACTTTTCCTGATTCATACTCAACGTGTGTTCCTTTGTTCTGCTGAAGTGTGTGCATCACATGGCACCCAGCCAACTCCTCCGCTGGATCTGTCCTCTGCGGGGAGGCACAAGGTCCTTTGTTTGCTACACGAGAGGGTCGTGTACAGCCAACTGTCCAGAATCTACTACCGAGAGGGTCCTGCCATGCAGGAAAGGCTAACGCCTACGACTGGAGATGCTCCTGCTCTGTCTCTTCTCTATGGAGTGAAGTGTTGCTCCATCCAGAATTTGTTTGTGTTTTCCTTTGCACCTCTGATACCAAAGTGCAGGGACCAGGTGTGTCTGAGCTTCCACTGCTGGTAACAGACAACAGGTGCCACTAGCTCAAAAACTGGTGTATGAAAATATGATTGATGTTTACGTGTTGATCTTGTATCCTGCAGCTTTATTTAGCTCATCTGTCGGATCTGAAAGTTTTCTTACAGGTTCTAGGGGACTGCCTTAAACAATTATGCCATCTGAAAATGGGCATAGCTGATATTTCTTCCTTTCCCATCCATCTGCCTTGTATTTTACTACATTGAATAAGCGCAGTGAGAGCTTACTTGCTTGCCTCATTCATGATCTTAGAGGGAAAGCAGTCTTTGATCATTAACTACAATAGCTGTAAGGATTTGGGCAGATCTATTTTCATTACGTTGAGGTAGTTCCCCTATGCTCCTAACATGCTAAATGTTTTGGTTTTTGTTGTTGTTTCTAATCATAAGTGGGTGTTGGATTTTGTCAAATACTTTTTCTGTATCCATGGATATAATCATATAATTTTCTTCTGTAGCCTGTTGATATGTGTAGATTGCTTTGGTACTTTTTGAATATTTTTTTATTAAATTTATTTATTTACATTCATTCACTGTACATCATTACAGTACACAAAATGAGATTTTCAATCCAGAGTACACTGTATATTGACTCACTCAAGCATATCATCATACATGTCAACAAATAATTTTCAATTTCTTGTTTCCTGTATGTTTTGCTTTTTTTTTTCCCCATCCTAGATTCCCTATCTCTTACCCTCTGCCATCTCCCACTCTCCTCCCACACTGTCTCTGGTATCTTTGTTTGCTTTCTATACTCCCCCCCCACACACACACACACATTTAATTGAGTCACTAAAGATCTTAATTAATCTAAATATTTTCATAGCAAGCACAGCTGATATATACATTTCCATGAACACAAAAGTCCAACTTTAGGCAGAATCCTCAGTGAGTAGAATGAACATCCTATAAAGTAGCACCTAGCTGGAGCTATATATCTTACTGCAGGTATAAAATAGGTATTTTTAATGCATTTTTTTAATTCAAAAAAGTTTT